AGATATTTTAGGCACATTAATATTCCATACCTAACATAACACAAAGCAACACTGTATATTGTTACTAAATTTTTAAACTTAGTAGATTAAAAATAACAATCTTGTCACTTAAAAAACCGAACAGATATGAACTGAGATGGTAAAGTAGGTACCAGACAATATTGAATATGATGCCCCATTCTAAAAAAATAATAATAGAGGTTTCCTACACTGACCTAAGAAATCTGTGGTTAATAGATTGGCCTACTTTTTTGGGACACCCTGTATTTATCAACTTCTAATAGAAGCTTACTAAAATGTTCCTTATTAGTAGGTAAAATACAGTCATTATAGTTTCTCAATTAAAATTTACATACTAAAGTACTAGTAAGGAATTGAAATAATTAAGAGAAAATAATATTTTGCTCTACGAATTTTCAGAAGAAAAATATAATATTTTATTATCCGCGTCTTATTTTAAAAAATCTGATGTGTCCAACACATGACTTTCCTATCTAGTTATTATAGGCTTTTTCCGGTTATTTTGTGCAACCTATTGCAGCACCTCTATAAATATTTAGGGGATAAACTAAATATATACATTTTTCACATATATCTAACTCGAAACATTTTTCTATAGATATTCATTGAAAACGAAAATACTGAAAAATTTTAATTTAGCACTCTTCCTCCAATTTTTCCATTACGGTCCATTTTAGAAAAATCATATATAAACAAAAATTATAGGGATCGATATCGCAAACTACTTTTAGTTCAACAATTTTCATAAAAAATCAGAATTTTGCACATTTTGTCAAATTTCTCGAATACGGACCATTTCAGGAAAGTTTGACATGAAACAAAAATTATAGATAATATTAGAAGTAACTTTTATTTGAACAATTTTCTTCTCCAAACATAAATAACAGACATATTCCATAAAATATAAAAACGGCCTCCCATAAAGTACCCCCCCAAAAGTTCCGACTTTGTCCAAAATCTAATCATTTCACGTCAGGCCGAAATAAAACTTAAATTTAAAATGTAATGTTTTTTCTTTATCCGTTTTTGAGTTTTCTTCAAAATTCGAAATTTACACATTTTCTCAAATATCTCGAATACGGTCCATTTTAGAGAAATTATGTATAAAATAAAAATTATAGAGAATTATATTACAACAACTTTTATTTGAACAATTTTTATAAAAAAATATTTTTGTTTTTTCATTTTATCAAATTTCTCGAATACGGACCATTTTAGAAAAATTTTGTATAGAACAAAAATTATAGATAATAATATTAGAAGTAACTTTTATTTGAATAATTTTCTTTTCCAAACGTAAATAACAGATATATTCCATAAAATATAAAAATGACCCCCATAAAGTACCCCCCAGATGTTCCGACTCTGCCCAAAAACTAATATGTTCATTGGACGATGGAATAAAGCGTAAGTTTAAAATTTTGTGTTTTTCTGTGTATCGGTTCATGAGTTATGCGACACACAGACAGCATCGCGAAAATAGTAAAAACGGATTCAGGGGAACTCAAAACGTAAAAATCCGTCGAAAACTCGAGGTCGAAAAAAAATCATGATTCCTATACTTTCCTTATATGTGTATACAGATAGGAAAGTAAAAATCACATTCGTTTGTAAAGTCTTTTACTATGTGTATTTTGCGTTATTATTTATTACTAATCATTATATATACTAACCTTGAAAAGTACTTTGCATATTAGTATTTATAAAATTAAACATTTCATTCAAACCTTATCACTTTTTTATCACAAAAAAATGTTTAAAATACGGCTGACTAGGTACTAGTTATTTTAATATTTTAAGTATATCTAAATGTGAAAATTTCAAAAGGGAAATGAGTGGGGGTCATCCCCTTCTTCTTACTTAAAATCCTAACGGCAAACCTCAACTAAAAAATACGATAGGATAAAGTTAATCTGTTTAAATGCGGAAATCTGAGGTCATATGTTAGGCCAGACAATAAAGATATGATTTCGAAAATTTCAGATTAATTACAAAAGTTTTAAAACTTTGTAACAATAATTGGCTAGTTTAAATAACACTAAGTTAAAATTTGCAACCATTTTCAAGATCCGGAACTAGTTAACAAAATGGCGCTTTTGTTTACAATTTTGAAAGAAAAATTGCAAAAGTGCTGTAAATTTGAAGTAATATATTGATATGGAAACCTCCTTATGCTATCTCTGGTTTCAATCAATAAAAAAATCTCAATATTGGGTTCAAACAAATCTAAAAAATATTATAAATTTCGTAAATTTAGCGACAAAAAAAATTCTTTTTTTTTCTTCTGCTGTTGCTTTTCCTGCTGCTGCGTTCGTCCTGTTACTGCTGTTTATTTTGTCCTGCCGCTGCTTAACGTCCTTTCCCTGGCTTTGTCTGTCTCTAATTATATCTACCTGTATACTTATTACCTCTTCTGTAATGTCCTATAAAGTCTCTGCTTGTCTCTATTTTCAATTTAACTTTCTTTTGATTTATGATTTTTCTTAAATAAAACTTATTTATCTTCTTATATATTTTCTACTTCATTTATATATATCCAACTTTCTCCATTTCAAAATTTCAATTCCCCCTGACAGTTCTATTCCCATTGCCAATCAATAATTTATTAATCAAAATCCTTTTCAAAAACAAAAACATCAATTACTTATATATTCCATCCTTGCTCTACGATTCTACCTTGTCAGAGGTTGGAAATTAATATTAACATTTGCAACCAATTTTCAAAACTTTTGCATTTTTTTTTTGACAAAATTAGAGGAAAATAAAAAAATATTTTGGTATTTTTACAAAAAAAAAATTACTGTGCAAAATAAAAGGTTGCAAATTGGAATAGTTTTTCCAAAAACTTGTATGAGTTATGTCTTCAGTTTGCAGCAGCTTTGCAATTTTTTTTATCTATGATATAAACAAAAACGCTATTTTACAAAAAAAAATCATATTCCAGACTTTAAAAAAGTTGCAATCTTATACAATGTTGAAAATAATACAATAAATAAATATTGCTACAAGTTTGCAGTAGTTTTGCAATTTTTTTGAAAGTAAATTTTAATTTTTCGCAACTATTCCGGACCTCAAAAAATTTATTAAATTTATAATTATTTCAATTTAATAAAAATTCCAATAAAGTTTGAAAACTTTTGTAATTAATTTGAATTGCCTGGCCTATATAGTTGTTTTCAACATCGCGAAATGGGTATTTCCGATCACCGACCACATAAATTTTCTTTAGGAATTTTATAAACGTTTTATTTAGGTAGGTATACCATGCAATGATAACAGTTCAAATCCCATTTTATTTGTAAAAACATCCTACAAGTTTTTTTAAAATTTTGTAAAAAGTGATCCACTAAAAATGATTTTAAAGTAGGCCATGACTAACAGAGACAATTAAATCCAAACTAACATTTAAAAAGAAGAAGAATAGAGGACTTCTATACAAGGGAAGTGCAACCAACCTGACAAAATAAAATTGATACTAATGACATGAAAAATAGGGTCACGAAAAAGTTCAAATTTTGGTTTTTCTTATCTACTTTTATGCCATTTACATACCATGTTGTACCCGTAACGTAAAAAAGATTTTTATTTTAGGGTATTTTATGTTTAAAGGTTGAAGAAATTTATCAATATCAGCTGTCGATAATGTCAAAACATAAGCGTAGCATTGCGATTTATTTTTTTATTGTTAATAGTCTATTTGTGTTTCTCCCGGTTTCTTTAAACATTTTTTTCATTTGGTTTCATATATTTATGTCAAATGCAAAAATGCTGCTGCTACAAATACAAGTTACATACACTATACAACTATATATAATACTAGTTACGTTATGCCCATCTATGGTTACGCCTGTGTTCTACCAACATAATTGACAGCTGACACTGGCAAATTTTTTCAACCTTTAGATGTAAAATACCCTAAACTAAAAAGTCTTTTTTACGTTACGGATACAACATGGTATGTAAATGGCATAAAAGTAGGCAAGAAAAACCAAAATTTTAACAAAAAAAACAGCCTCTTTATGTGACCCGATTTCTTATGTCATTAGTGTCAATTTTATTTCGTCAGGTTAGTTGCACTTCCCTTGTATAGAAGTCCTCTATTTTCGAAAAAATTAGTCACTAAAAATTGTTCGCTAAGTTTTTCTATAGTATTGGCAATGATCGTTATTGATATTGACTGTTTTTATTCACTTTCTTGATGGAATCTCCTTTATAGTTCTCAAAAACCCCTCCCATTAAAAATAGCTGGCTACGCCACTGAGTGCCATATTTATGATATAGGAATATCTAAAAAAGCAGTTCACTTGAGATAACTCCTCCACTTTCCTTGAATAAGTAGGAAGCGAGACAAAGAAGGCTTGTTTTGGTTCTTTCATGAACTAATTCAGAATCAGTAAATTAGACTCATTCACCTCAATAGGTTGATTATTATCGCGACGTATTCTTGAAAAATGAATTGGTCAACCGTATTTGAGAACTGGAATTGTTGGTTGTCTGAACAAAACAAACCCCATAAGTCTTCTTCCTCTATGACTCATGGATCGCAAACTTTTTAAATTTATTTATAGATCAAAATCAAAACGCATAACCTCAAAAATGCGTAAGATATTAACTAGAATCATAATATAAAGGTGTGTTAAATGTGTAAGTACCAAGAATTGACGATTATTTTTAACTTAGTTTTGTATTTTATGACTCAAAGATACTCTCACTCTCAAAACAGTTTATCTAGTTTAATTTTATGAGAATCCGGCTTATCCTGATACCTAGGCGTAGCTCAAATCTCGATATAGATTTTATGAATATCAAATACATGAATAGTTTGTACCTAAGTATTTCAATAATTCTAAAAAAAATATGTTAGTAACATTACCCTATACATTTTTAATCAATAATTAAATAAAAGAATCATCTAGGTAGGCGGTAGACTCTGTTATTATCGAATAATCTAGTAATTAAGTCCACATGATAAAAAATACCTTTAATATTCCAGTACATGATGCGGTCGTTAATTATTAAATTAACTTCCAAAATTAATGCAATTAGATATTAGATTGCAATTTAAAAACGATACACAAGCACTTTAATAACAAACAAATTTAATCTGACACAATTTTAGAACTCGGAGTTTAGTGTGCATGCGCAGTGCAATGCGTGCGTTCTTTTCAATAATAATAGTGAGGGCGGTAGCCTCAAATAAAAATACATACATTGTTTACAGTAGATCAAATCCAATAACAAAAAAAAAAGAAAGATTTGAGCTAATAATAGTATAATTGAGTAAAAGTGTAATAGGTTTGTAAGTATATTTATTTTTATAAGTCGACTCCAGACCAGTGAACTGTATATTTAAAATAGAATGCCAATTACCGCTCTAGAGGGCCTCAGTAAACTAAAAAAAAAAAAAATTATTAAATTATTTTACACTACTCAATCGAAAAGTGTCAAAATAACTTGAAAGTTCGTCCCGCATTACGTCATGCGCGGTTTGGACGAATTTTGAATCGAAAGTCAGCATACCTTTAGTATGTGTATCCTGTATTGAATAACGTCGAAAGAAAATAGCAGAGGTAAAAAATATTTTCAACACTCAAAATATTTCAACACTCTGCCTTTGATTTTGCCCACTAAGGAGAAAGTCATCCTTATTAGGACTCTTTAGCAATATATAAAAATTCTCGACTCCAGTCTCTAATGGAGTCTTATTGTGATACCAATTTCGATCGAATTCAATTACGGCGGGTTGAGCATGAGTAGATATTCAACGAGCGAAAGTGATATCGCCATCTATACTTAGTAAGCAAAATCAAAAATTACATCTAGTGGATATCCACCATGGTTTGCGTTCGCGACTAGACTTTGATATATTTAGTGGATGTCCATGGGATATTGAATACATCTTAAAAAAATTAAATTTAAATATCTGAACGGTACTATTAGCCACAATGACGAGCACAATGGCGTAATTTTTTAATAATTTGCTCTATAATTACTATTATTTATGGACATTTGCATGTCTATAAATTACATCTCATGGATATAAAATAGATATCCACCATGGACTGGACATTCAGTGGATATTGAGATGTCCAGTAGATATCCAAAGGATTTGGTGTGCTGTCTGGGTCACTCTATTTTCTTCTGAGTTATAAATACTTTCACAGTATTTGAAGCGTTTCCCCAAAAAGTTAGTCCGTAGAGGTTAATAATGACGTTACCAGCCCAAAATAGGCTAACTTTAATACATTCAGAGAAGTTGTATTGTGAAGTTGTCTAAAGATAAAACAAAAACTGCTCATCCTTGAGACCACCTTGTCAATATGTCCTTCCCATATAAGCTTCTGGTCTAGGGTCACCCCTAGATATGTAAAGTTTGTCACCTGTTCTATATCGTTCTATGATTAAGCCTAATTAATGGGCAGAAGTTATAACTGATGTTTTTTTGTTGAAAGATCATAAATACTGTTTTTGTTATGTTAATTAGTAGCCCATTATCTAAGCACCAGTCCGAAAATTCTTCTAGAGTGGCGATGCATACTCAGCCGATAAATCAAGTTTATGCTCAGCCACTACCCAGACAGCACACCAAATCCTTTGGATATCTACTGGACATCCCAATATCTACTGAATGTCCAGTCCATGGTGGATATCTATTTTATATCCATGAGATGTAATTTATAGAGATGCAAATGTCCATAAATTATAGTAATTATATAGCAAATTATTAAAAAATTACGGCTAATAGTACCGTTCAGATATTTAAAATTATTTTTTTTAAGCTGTATTCAATATCCCATGGACATTCACTAAATATATCAAAGTCTAGGCGCGAACGCAAACCATGGTGGATATCCACTGCTATTTTGGTTCGACGTTATTCAATAATCATTGGTTACTTATGAACCTCTACTAAAGATACCCATAAAATATTTTGCTGAATATCCGAATATCTTCTATATAATATATATACTGTGATATAGACGGACATTTGGATATCCATATATATCCACAAAATATATTCTGTGGATATCTCTGGGATTTCTCGTATTGTCTGGAAGATACCCATTAGATATTTTGCTGGATATCCATAGGAAATCTTCTATATTCTGGATATAGACGGACATTTGGATATCCATTTTAGATCCACGGGATATTTCAGATATCCTGTGGATATATTGGATATCCACAAAAGATATTCTGTGGATATCCCTGGGATTTGGTGTGTTGTCTGGGTAGAGATGTACAACTGGTTCCCACTATAGGGCATCTTGCAAGAAATTTGTTTAAATCTTTGGAAATATTAACATTGCCATGTTTCTATATACAGGATAGCTGTTAAAGATGGAACCAAACCTATAGTGCTTAAACGGTTCAACATACAAAACCCAAAATTTCAACTAAATATATTTGCTCATATTTTGGCCTAAAAATTATTTTTTTTATAATTACAAAATTTTAAGCACGGCCGCCATCTTGATTTTTTTAAATAGCAACATAGGTCATATGATATACCATTTGAAAGGGTTTAACACCTTGATTACAAAAATGTATCACACATGGGGTCTAAAACACAACAGAAAATATATTATTAATAGTGAGCGTAGGAGGCTGTGAATTTGACAAAAGATCCCTTGTGTGATACATTCTTGTAATCAGGGTGTTAAACCCTTTCAAATGGTATATCACATGACCTATGTTGCTATTTAAAAAAATAAAGATGGCGGCCATGCTTAAAATTTTGTAATTATAAAAAAAATAATTTTTTGACTTAAATATGTGCAAATATATTTAGTTGAAATTCTGGGTTTTGTATGTTGAAGCGTTTAAGCACTATAGGTTTGGTTCCATCTTTAACAGCTACCCTGTATATTTGACCACATTAAACATTAAGAAAAATGAATCTTAATATATTCGAAATAATATGATTCACGAACACAACACACGGAGAGGCAATGACTTACGACTGCCATATTCCCGGCTGACCATTGGGCAGGGTTCTGCAGGTTATCATCTATTTTAATCATATATAACTAGGCTTTTGGGTAATAGTAATGTTTTTAAAACCATTTTAAATATTTAGTTAAAAATGCATTTTATTCTGTAGAATTCCTGCAGATTTCTTAATCATTTTAATTTTATTTAAATATTCTTATTATAGTAATTTTAGATATACATATGTTGTAAATGGAAGTGCTATATATTGTATTGTTCTATTTTTTTTTTTTTTGACAAGTGCTGTGTATAGGAAACATGTATCTGTACATTTGATAGATGAATAAAGGATTTATTTATGTATAGTTTGAGACTTGATTGCAATCACTTTTAAACTAGGCAAATAAAAGAAATGAAATAGGTTTTTAAATTTTATTGTACTTATTTACACTGAAGTCTTACATACTGCCGTAACAAATTAAAAGGGATATTCAAGAGGTTCTTAATAAGCTCACATCGTGAGCTCCATAATGGCATTCACTATGTCATTGCTATTATTTTTCAGTGCTTTTATGGCTTTAGTTCGACTGACGTTTGCCTGTGACATTACCAGTTCAACATCTTTTTCTTCTACTCCAGATTCATCAACCTAAAACAAACATTTATATATAACACTAAAATAAAAATGTTATACAATAATATTTAAATCAAGTTTTAATACTTTAGAGGATATTTTATATTAATTAATGTAAACAGTGTATACCTCTTCATCTTCAGACTCTTCAGCAATAGGTGCAACTGATGTTGTTGTAGTTCCTGCAGCAGCATCTCCAGCTGGATTCACTTCCTTGAATTTCTCAGCTGCAGCAACTTGAGCTTGCTGTGACAGATCTTCAATTTTAGCTTCACCAAATACTATGTAGGTATCACTGACGGGGTTCTTGTATACATCAGGTTTGTTAATAACAAAAAGAATATTTTTGGATTTACGGATCGTTACTCTATTAACACCTTGTACCTGTAAGAATGAGAAATACAATGTTCTATAATTATAATTTTTTTAGCATTTTCATTGGATTAGTTTAGTAAATATTGTTTATTAACAAAAAAAGGGTCAAATCATTTTAGTTTAAAGAAATAAAGCAGAAAAATATAGAAATGCAGTCTACAATTTCTAATTTATTAAAATATATAGATGGCCAATAATTTTCCTTGTTTTTATTGGTTCTTACTGTTGGTAAACCTGCAGTTTACATCCGCGGAGATTGTGCATGCTCTGGCACAAAAATATCCTAAAATTTTACATTATTTTGACACATTTTTTTCTATGAAATTGCTCAACTTTAAAACAATCAGAAAAGCAATAGATGGGTAGTTTAAAAAAAAATTAAAAAGAAAATAAACATCTATACTAAGCAAGTCCAATACATGCTTGTTACTATCTTTATTGCAGATTTACTTACAGGCTTCAACCCAAGCTTAGACATTATTTTTCTGGCCTTCTTTTCGCCTCGAGACTGTTTAGCTTTTGAAAGACCTGGATCGACAGGTAAACCGGCTGCGGCGGCTCCGGGAAAGGCCGCTGCAGCAGCATTTGTTCCGGCATCTTCTAATTCTGGAATTTCTTCATCGGAATCGCTGTCTGTGGAAGATTCACTTTGTTCTGGTTTCGCCTCTGCAACTACGGGTTTGTCGACTTCTGTCATTTCTGGCATATTTTTTACCTTAAAGAAATGGATAGTTAGTAAAATATTCTTAAGGAAAAACAATGTGCTATGTCAGTTAATTAAAATTCAGACTGCCAAGATTCTGATTCATATATATTAAATCATGAAAAAGTTGCGAAACCATTGGAGTAATATCATCATGATGAATAAAAATAGTAATGTTAAGAAACAACTGTAAATTTTCAAGATTACTTTTTATTACGGTACCTAAATTTATCACCATTTTAGGAAACGTTAAATTAAAATATATAGAACTTCCAGCTAAAAAATTTATACACTCCCTAAATTTAATACACTTTTTCTGTTGTTTGATATTATTTAACCGTTAAAACACGTTAAGATGACATAAATAAATACCTTTTCAGATTTTCTCCTTCGAATGTAATTTTCGTTTGACAAGAGGAAGGAGCGAAAAGGTAGGAGGAGTAGGGATAAACGAAACAACTAGCTATGTTCGTATGTGTATGTGCGAACTCACTCTAAAAACACTGATCTATATAATATTGCCAGAATGGTGCTTGTAAATGGCGGAGTAGTTGTTCCGGTTTCCAGTGACGTACTGTCATAGAATTATTTAAGAAAAATTAAGCTTGTTTTACTTGTGATTCATTTGGGAGTTACAAATCTAAACTGAACAATAATTTTAAGATTTTCGATATTACAGTGGAGTGCAAAATAAAAATGGTATTATAATAGCAATAATAATTAAACAGTTATAGCGAAGAGACAGAAATTTCGTTATTGGCAACTCCAAAATGAATGAGCCTCTTGCAATGAACTGTGAACAACAATAGAACAATCCTTATTAATAAAAATAAGCCAAATATTGAATTCGCGTGTATTCGAGAAATTTGACAAAATGTAAAAAAAATCAATTTTTTATGAAAATTGTTCAAATAGAAGTTGTTTGAGGTATAATTCTTGCCCCTTAAGGCTGTATGTCACGATACTAAATTAAGTACTAAATTTAGCACTAATTTAAGTTATTAATTTAGTACTAAATTTAGAACTAAAAATATTTTTTTTCCGTTTGCAACGATACCAATTTTTAGTACTAAATTTACTATAGGCGCACGCGCATTGACGTATAAATACGTGAAATTAGCAGATAAATGAAATATTCTGTGTAAAACAGACAAGTGAAGTAAATGGTGTTTTTATTATCAATTTGATACTAGTTGACTTGACAACAACCAAATACAGCATAAAAACCACGAAAAAAACACAATAAAACAGGCGAACTTTATTCAAGGCGATAATGAAAAATTGTCGCTAATTAAAAATAAAAGGGTACAGAAAATACCGTCGTGTCAATTTTTCTATGAAAAACTTCTGCGCAACATTTCGGCGCACTTTTAGTACTAAATTTAGTAGAAAATAGAACAAGATCTAATTCATTAATGACTTTTTTTTAGTACTAAATTTAGTACTAAATTTGCTGTTTGCAACGTGAATTTTTTAGTACTTAAAAAATGCATTAATTTAGTTCTAAATTTAGTACTTAATTTAGTATCGTGACATACAGCCTTTACATAATTTCTCTAAAATGGACCGTTTTCGAGATGTTTGAGAAAAAGTGTAAATTTCTAATTTTGAAGAAAACTCAAAAACAGATAAAGAAAAAACATTAACATTTAAACTTACCCAGACAACACACCAAATCCCAGAGATATCCACAGAATATCTTCTGTGGATATCCAATATATCCACAGGATATCAGAAATATTCCGTAGATCTAATATGGATATCCAAATGTCCGTCTATATCCAGAATATAGAAGATATCCTAATGGATATCCAGCAAAATATCTAATGGGTATCTTCCAGAAAATACAAGAAATTCCAGAGATATCCATAGAATATATTTTGTGGATATTCAATATATCCAATATAGATATCCAACCAAATGTCCGTCTATATCCCAGGATATAGAAGATATTCGGATATTCAGCAAAATATTTTATCTTTAGTAGATGTTCATAAGTAACCAATGATTATTGAATAACGTCGAAAGAAAATAGCAGAGATAAAAAATATTTTCAACACTCAAAATATTTTCAACACTCTGCCTTTGATTTTGCCCACTAAGGAGAAAGTCATCCTTATTAGGACTCTTAAACAATGAATGGAAATTCTCGACTCCAATCTCTAATGGAGTCTGATTGCGTAATTTTTTAATAATTTGCTATATAATTACTATTATTTATGGACATTTGCATGCGTATTTACGAAAATATCTATAGCGCTATCTATGATACAAACGAACAAATCTATAACGATTTTTTTTTTTTTTTTTTGATTTGGCAAATGACAATTGTAATGACGTTTGTATGGTACTGACAGATGACAGAGATTTTCTGAAGGTGAAAAGTTGTTCAAAGGAAAGTGAAAGCCTATTTTAAGTATTTTAGTGTAGTTAAATGTTAAAAAAACCGAAGTATTGCTTTGTTGAATCAAAACTGATTAATAAATAGATATATTATTTACTTAAAATAGTGAAATTTAGGTAAGTTCATAGTATAATCGTTATAATGGTTTTGTTTTGCATGGCATCAGGGAGCATGATTGAAAAATTTGTGTCACTTTTTTATAATTAATATTATATTTAGATCCCAAACATTATAATGGCTTGTTCAAAATATTGAAGCAATTGTAGATCAATGGTGGATTTACTATTTTGTCTTATTCTATTCTCATTTTATACCTAGATTCGTTTAACGGATGTAGCGGTACAATACATTCCGTCAAAAGTGTAAAATCTGTACATCCTTTGTTGTGAACTTTAACTATACTTTCAAACATTAAAATTCGATGCGGTTTTAAAAAAGACACATCAATATTTGCAATATCTATTTTATAATCATAAAAGTAAAATATGCATTCAATATTCATAGCAAAAGAGGTCATATTTCAAAGTCATCTTCATAGTATTATAACATTTAAACTTTAAACTATCATCATCATTAAAACTGGCGCATAATGAAATTATTTTCTCACGTATTTCTTAGATTGTATCTTTTACATTTGTTAATTTTATAACTGTTCATGTCTGCCTATGACATGTAATTTTTCCACAACAATGGCTACATTTATATCCATATAACATTCATAGTTAATAAATTTTAAATCATATATTACTAAAGTAAGTAGTTAATGTTAATACTAACTTATGTTGCTAATAAAAAGATAATCAACTACCTAATTAAATATTACTCATAGTCACAATCTAAATTTTTTATGCATACCATCCTGTCATTTCATAGATGCATTTTAATGTTTTCAAGTAAGCAATAAAATTACAGCACAAATTGTAGAGAATAAAAAAGGATAACTTTAAATTTACTTTCCCCACATGTAAAGTATCTAAGTAAGAATTTTTCTGATGGGTTAAAAAATCCTTTTCATGTTCTAGGACCTGTTGAATAATAAAAAAAACTTTTAGGGACATCACCCCACACAACTGTATTATATTGCAAAATAGATGTTACCATATCCTTATTAATAAATATTAAACATTGTTGATTCATTCATTCAACAGTTTGAGTCTGATATTATCAGTTTCAATAAACCTGAATTAATTTATAAAAACTATAGTAGGTAGTGTTGATATAAATTTCTGATATTCCAAATTCTTATGAAGACATAAGATTTCCCACTTTTGATTTCACAGTTGGGTTCTAAATGAAAACATTGTTCTTAAAGTTATGTTATTTATAAAATGCTCGATAATATGCTAAATTAGATTATAGTTGCATGTAGAAGTGAATGCTATATTTACATCATCATTGGGATGTTATAACTCAGGAGTTTTGTGTATTATTAACTATGTTTACCCCAACAAAAACACTTTAGTTTCATTGAAATGTGTTAGGTATATCAATAAATTTTATTTTAATAGATATTTTATTACAAACTTTTTTAATAATCAGACATAAAATTAAAAAAGTCTCTGAAAATAATTATTGGGAACACTGGGCTTATTTTTCCTAATTATATTCTAGCATAAATCAATAATGTTGTATTACAGATTTTCGTGTACCCCAAGGAATATGCATACCACCAGTTAACAACCATTATTATAACTTATTACTAAATACATTAAGGTTGTTAATGCTTCAAAATAGTACTATGGTGCTGTTAAAAGCTTTGCTGATCATTTAATACGAACGAGAATGTAATTCATATTTATACAAATTAATGAAATAAAAATGTTTATCAAAAGTTGTTGATTTGGAAAATAAAAGAACAAGCAATTCATAGTAATATCAGAGACAACCCAGCGAGACGTGTAACTCAAAATGTATTTTTTTTGTTCGGTAAAAGTTGTTTGGGCGATTGTAACCACAACCAGTCTATGATGGCGCCACTAGTAAATAGCGGGTAAATTAAAAATGCTTTAGGGCTGGAAATTCAAACATGGATCCAGAAATAAATGATTTTTCTATACAAATTTACAGGAGAAACAAAAACTATTGTTTCACTGTATATTAAAAAATATAAAAGCTTCCAATAATATCAAATTTTTTATCATGTAACAGCGCGCCCCTGAAGTATCGGCAACCAGAATTACGCTCAGGATTACATCGGCAAGTTCAAGTCGACACTCGCAGATGGCAGCACCAAAATTCTTTTTTGTTCAGCTGACGCATACGTAACCCGAGGAGAGTAGTAAAGGACGAATCTCGGTAACAAGGGTTATCCAGTGTTGCCGACGTGACGTAGCAGAATTCTGCTACTCGTAGCGGAATTCTATCGAGGTAGCGGCGGTAGCTCAATACCCGTAGCGGAATTTGAAATGAAATGTGCCACAGTACAAAAAATAATAAATCTTATAGCGGATTCGACTCAAATGCTCTTGCTCGATGACAAAGCGCTTTTAGTTCTGAATTGATTTTGGGCAGCATTTTTATAATTCAAATTTATATCTAGCAGTGCACACAGCAAAGTACGAGCTAGAATTCGACATTGGTGTAGCGCATCTTTATCGTTATTCGACTGGCACAGTTAACACTTGACTTGACATTTCAGGTTTCTAGAACAGAAGTAAAAGTTGGAAATGCTTTTGCCAGTTCTCCCACTTTATACACATAAATTGACAGGTTGGCACCGGATCTCACCGAAGTGGACGCGATACATTGGCGTACAAAATTATTTTATAGATGTTAATAACAATTTCGAGTAAATAGTTTAATAAATTGTGAATAGCTGCTGAAATTTTGTAAAATTATAATTTGAATATTATAATACATGTTTAATAATTATTTATAATCCATAAATACATGCGATTGTCCGGTTCCGCCGATAACAATTTAAAATTACTTATTCTATGAAACGACACTGGCAGGTAAACATTACTGTGAAATTCTCTCAGAGTAAGTAAGTAGTAAAGAGAGGACAGTAAACAATGTTTGTGTCGCCATGATAATATGGTCGAGAATTCTAATTAGAGAGAAATAGATTAATATCTCTATCTCTTTGTTTGTATTTGTCAGTTTTACAAAGCTTTTCTCAGACAATTATTCCAGTGTTTAATTTAAATTTCTTCGTGTTGTGGTGTTAAAAGTAATTGTTATTAATATTATATTTTGTTTTCACTTCATTAAAAATGCACCTACCTACCTTCCAAAACATTTTATTTTATATTCTACTTGGTCAACATTTTCGCATTTAAAATGACCCAGCGAAATTGTTTTACGGTACGCTACTGCTGAGAATTCTAAAACGAGTGAGAAAGCCTTCATTAGAAAGAGAGATACTGATTATATGATAGCGAGATTAATATTGTATAACTTTATGCAGTGGTGGCCTATCTGCTATTATATTATCTAAGGAAATTCTCGGAGCCGCCCGACCTGGTTTGACGTTTACCCCCCTCTCTACCTACCAAAAGACTTTTCAACTTTTACTTTCTCTATAAAGGCTGTATGTCACGATACTAAATTAAGTACTAAATTTAGAACTAAATTAATGCATTTTTTAAGTACTAAAAAAATTCACGTTGCAAACAGCAAATTTAGTACTAAATTTAGTGCTAAAAAAAGTAATTAATTAAGTACTAAAAGTGCGCCGAAATGTTGCGCAGAAGTTTTTTATAGAAAAAGTTGACACGACGGTATTTTCTCTACCCTTTTATTTTTAATTAGCGACAATTTTACATTGCGCCTTGAATAAAGTTCGCTTGTTTGATTTTGTAGGTTTTATTGTGTTTTTTTCGTGGATTTTATGCTGTATTTGGTTGTTGTCAAGTCAACTAGTGTCAAATTGATAATAAAAACACCATTTACTTGTCTGTTTTACACATAATATTTCATTTCTCTGTTAATTTTACGTATTAATACGTCAATGCGCGTGCGCCTATAGTAAATTTAGTACTAAAAATTGGTATCGTTGCAAACGGAAAAAAAAATTTTTAGTTCTAAATTTAGTACTAAATTAATAACTTAATTTAGTGCTAAATTTAGTACTTAATTTAGTATCGTGACATACAGCCTTAACAAAGTTTTAACGATATTTATTTATAGTTGCCAAACTTAAAATTAATTTTCTATTAATTTCAAAGATTTTCCATTCTCACTAATAATAAAAACAAAGATGGTAATATATTTAATAGTATATTATTAAACGAGCAATTTATGGTAGCCATTAGTCACCCGAGTGAATAATGGCCATAAATTGTGAGTCTAATACTATACTTCGTCCACGACCATTATGGTTTCTTTATTAAATAAAAGTTAAGTGTAGAATGGAAAGTTTTTATTAAACATAGGTAACTAACTGTTGTTTTTTCCACTTTCCAATTTTTCGATTTTTCATTTTTCGGTTTTTCGATTTTTTGATTTATCGATTTTTTGATTTTTCGATCTAGAAAATATCGTTATGAAAAGTATCGCCTATCTTTAGTTATCTACCGGAATGTGCCAGAATTACAAAAGCGTGAATTATCATAATTCACTCCGTGATATATGGGTACTATATGCTCTTAGTTAGGAGGTAGAATATTGATTTATTATTAAGTGGTCGTGGACAAAAATATTAAATAATTCCTAACCTCCAAAATGACACTGGCACTAAAAAAAGTACAGTTCCAAAAAATTCGAACTTTGAGCAAGAACGCCTGCAAGTCGAACAAAAATTTCACTATGCCTTGATACCGAGCAATTTGAGTCGAATGCAATAATTTACTTTTAATTCAATAGGTCCTGCCAGTCGAACAGACACCACTTAAAAAAGTCAGACTAAATGCGCATTAATGCAGCCAGTCGAATCCGCTTTTATAGAAATTGTATTCGCTCCGTGCTCGACAGCAGCGCCAATTCGTTTTGGTACTAAATGGACTATTTCTGCGTATACCGTATACTGACAATTACAATAGATGATTTCAACGGAAGACATCTTGAAGTTGCAAGGTCATTGGAAGATCTTTGCGCCATCTATAAGTTTACATAACAACTAATAAATTAAAAAAAAACTGTAAAATATTATTTTGGCAATCTGTTTAAGGTTACG